CGTCACGCGGCAACTCCGAGCGGCGACCAAAGATGCAAATCCACTCCTGCTCGCCACGTGGCCTCGCCTGGGGCAGAGGGCGAAACAAAAGCACTCCACTCGACGCGCCACGCGGCCACGCCTAGGAAGCGAAAAGAGATTCCACTCTACTCCGGGCGTGGCAGCGCCGCGCCGCGGGGGGCAGAACAGGAAAGCATTCCACTCGAGTCGCCCTGGGGCAACGCCTCGGGGGGGGGGGGAATGCTGAACTCGACGCCCTCCTCCTCCTCCTCCTCCTCCTCCTCCTCCTCCTCGATGCCCTGATTTTGAGATCTTCCGCGCGGATCGGCCGCACTGACACACTGAGAGTTCTCTCGATGCTGGAGCAGGCCTGCGCGGGCCGATGGGCGCGCGGAGCGGCAGCACCACGGGGCGAAAAGAAGCTGCTCCGATCGACGCCCCACGCGGCAACGCGCGTGGAGCGAAACGAAACGACTACACTACTCTACTCGGCACGTGGCAGCGGGATCCCCAGAAGTCCCGACCCTGTCACGAGAGCCAATTGTTCGTCCTGGGTCTTTTCCTGAAGAGCGAGCCAGGAGCCCGTCGGGGACCCCTGGGGAGCGAAAAAGCCAAACCAACTCCAGAGTACAGAGGGCGAGCGAAAAGGATAGGGAAGAGAGCAGAACACGAATTCCCGATCTGACCGATCAGAATTTCTGAGTTTCGCGCTTCTGCAGAATTCCGGGTTTCGAGGCGAATCCCGGACTTCGATGCGAATGCCGGGTCTCGCGGTTGAAGCCGGTTCTGGATGTCGACCCAACGGATTCCGGGATCGGGGCCGATTCCAGGGTTGAGCTCTCCACCTCCTGCTTGACGCACGCTGGTGCGAAGCAACACGAATATCTAGCCCCCCGCAATCTTCGCGGATAAAATGAAAGAAGCGGCGAGGACGCCGTCAGTCTGCGAGGCTCTAAAGAGGCCCGCCGCAGGCTCCACATTGTTACAAACTGTGCAACTAGCCCGCCGCAGGCGCCGATTTTTCGTTAAACCATTGCGGGTGGGTCGCGGGTTGGGTCGCGGGTGGGTCGCGGGTGGGTCGCGGGTGGGTGGGTCGCGGGTGGGTCGCGGGTGGGTCGCGGAAGGGTCGCGGGTGGATCGCGGGTGGGTCGCAAGATGGGTCGCGGGTGGGTCGCGGAGTAGTGGGTCGCGGGTGGGTCGCGGGTGGATCGCGGGTGGGTCGCGGCCCAAATCGCGGGGTGGGTCGCGGGTGGGTCACGGGTGCGTCACGGGGTGGGTCGCGGGTGGGTCGCGGGTGGGTCGCGGGTGGGTCGCGAGTCGCGGGGTGGATCGCGGGTGGGTCGCGGCCCAGATCGCGGGGGGGACGACGCCAAACAGAAACAAAAACAGCAACAACCACAACAACAACGACAACGACAACAACAACAACAACAACAACAGCAGCAGCAGCAGCAGCAGCAGCAGCAACAACAATCATGTTTCCCGAATGGTCGATGCTTCTGTATGCAGCAGACATCCATCATGATAACCCCCCTCATAAGGGGATGCGCTCTTTGCGCACGGCGGCATGATATCCACTCTCCCTGATATTCCGCCCGAGGAGGTCTTCACAACACCCTTTCCGAGTCACTTCAACGTATCCAGCCCTGATGGCACATCGCCTTCGCGATCTCCCTGCCCAGGCCGTTCTCCCAGGTATCACGGCGCCTGAGTGGCCTGAGACCTCTGGGAGAAGCCTCACAACCTCTGAAAGAGCCCCGTGGAGAGCCCCCAGAGCCTCTGAGAAGCTTCAGAACATAGGCCCCTAGGCTTTCGACCCCTCCCTGGGGGCCGTTTTTGAGTCGGCCACTTTCTCATGGCGCCGGGGCTCACAGTCGTCGTCGTCGTCGCCGCCGCCGCCGCCGCTGCCGCGGCCGCCGTCGACGTCGTCGTCGTCGGGCCCAAAAACGGCCTGGGGGTCTCCACTTGCCGAAGATGTCTCAAGCGAGAGCGCCCGTTCGGGATTTTGCGCCAGATTTCACTAGAGCCGCCAGGAACAAAACAAGCTGGCGAGTCGCCTTAGACAGAACAGAAAGCTGGCGCGAAACTTTAAGGAAGAGGGAGGGACAGAAAAGAAACGCTCCGGCGACTGGTGTGATTACCGGCGTGAGCCTAGAAAATATACCAGTAAAGGGGGACAAAATAGGGGAAGCTGGCGAAGTACAAGGAAAAGCGGGAGAAAGTCAGGAAAAACCTGCGAAATAAAGGGGCAAAAGTGCCTGCCCCACGCGCCGCGAGAGGGCAGAGGGATACCGAGGCCCGCTCCGCGGCCCAGGGGAACGCCGCTCCCCAGACATGGCGCGCGGCGCCCCGAGCGTCGCCTTGACGCGCGTCGCAGCAGCGCCCGAGACGCCAATTGCGCGAAGACACCCAGGGCGCGGGCCAGCGGGACAAATCGTGGCACGCGGCGTCGCACGGGCGACGTGCACGCCACGAGCCTCGCGCGCCCCCCTCCCCAGAGAGGCGAACCCGCGGCGCGCACGGCCTCGCGCACGGACGGGCCCCACGAGGCCGCCCCAACGCCACCCGCACCACGATGCGGTGGCCCAGCGCGGCGGGGCACGTGCCCGCCAGCTCCCACGACCTTGGACAACACTGGCCTGTTACAGGCCAGCGGCCACACATGGGCGGACCGCGGGCAAGAACGCGCAAGAGAGCAGACGCGGCAGCCGCACAGGCAGAGCAGCACCAGCATCCCCCCCCACCCCACCCACGGCCCCGCACCCCGACCCGCGGGCCCGTCACAAATGCCTCCCCCACGCGCCGCGAGAGGGCAGAGGGACACCGAGGCCCGCTCCGCGGCCCGGGGGAACGCCGCTCCCCAGACCCGAGCGTCACCCCGACGCGCGTCGCAGCGAAGCCCGAGACGCCAGGGGCGCGAAGAACCCGACGCCAGAGCATGGCCCTGGCGGCTCGGGCGGCGCCTGCCCCAGACTTGGGCGCGTCCTTCGGGGGCAAACTCTGTTTCTCTGTTCAGGCCCAAAACTCTGATGAAGGTCTGATTCATGTCTGCACTGGAACTCTGATTCAATTCTTGCCCATCAGCGCCAACTCTGATTTCGGTCTGACTGGAACTCCGATTTAACTCTGGTCATAAGACCCAAGTCTGATTTAGGGCTGACTGGAATTCCGATTTCACTCTTAAATGCGATCATAGTTTGGCTTGGGCGCGCAGACGCCAATGTCACGGCGTCGGCCTAGCACGCTGCCAGGTCGACCCCGTGCGCATGCGTCTTCAAGAACAACAAAAGGAATGCGCTAGCCGAGCGGCGGGCCATGGCTGGGGGCCCAGCCGCCATCTGCCAAATACTGCGAGCTTGGCCCGCCTGCGCACGCCGCCCTACGGCAACGCAGAGGCCTGCGGGGGGGGCACGGGGCAGCGCCCCCCGCCTGCGCGGCCCTGCCCAAAATTGCTCAACTGCGGCTGGGACGAGAAAAAGCTCGCCCGAGGCTCGCCCCGCAAGGCTGCCGGCTGCCGCGCCGCGAGAAGGATGCACAGCGCGGTGGCCGCCCCAATCCCCGCCGCCCGCCCAGCACAGATCGGGGGCGGGCGGCGCAGAGGAGAAGCGCCACACTTTTCGGAGGGCTTGGGGGCGCGGAAGTGCCCTGGGCGGTTTCTGAAAGGCTTCGGGAAATGGACAGGGCCCGGGAAGGGCTCGGAGGGTTTTCGAAGGTGGAGGCGGCCTGGGAAGGCGCTCGGTGAGGTCGGGGGCAACGGGGCGAGCTGGGGAGGATTACTCAGAGGTCAAGAGGAATGTCGAAGGCCTAGCAGGGCTTCGAAGTGCACGGGGGGTTGGTCTGGGAGCTTCTGCGGAAGTTGCCGGAGGTTGCCGGAGCGTCGGGGCCGCGCCCGAACGCTCGGAAAAGGGCGCCGCAGGAAGCGGCGGGCTTTGGAGGGGCACGGAAGGCGTCGGAGCATTTTGCATGTTGGACAACAGCGGGGGCTCCTTCGGGTGCATGGGCGATTTTTCCAATCGGCGCTGGCAGGGGGGCGAACATGCGTCAAAATCGGCCCGCGTTGTAAGCGGGCTGGTTTGGCCTGGCAATCGCCGGGCACTATCGCTCGCTCAGACACGTTCCCCCCCATCCGTTTTTGCGTCGTCGGCGGCCGCCGTCGGCGGGGGGGTCGCGCGCGATCGGGTTAGCGGTGCAGAACGTGTCAGGGGTGCGCCGACATGGTATAGAGAAAACATGCGAAGCTGGCCATTGGGGCCTCCGGTGGAGCTCCCTATGGGCCACGAAACGCGTGAGAGGTGCGCCGAAATGGTGCAGCATGCGAACCTAGCCACTGGGGCCTTAGATGGAGCTCCCTGGGGGGGGCACGAAACATGTGAGGGGTGCGACGAAACGGTGTGGAGACAGCATGCGAGCCTTGCCACTGGCGCCTCAGGTGGAGCTCCCTAGGCCCTAGGAGCGTGAGATGGGTGCGCCGAAATGGCGTGGAGAAGAAATGCGGACCTAGCCACCGGGGGCTTAGGTGGAGCTCCCTGTGGGGCCACGCGTGAGAGGTGCGCCGAAATGGTGTGGAGACGGCATGCGAACCTAGCCACTGATGCCTTAGGTGGAGCTTCATATGGAGCCATGGAACGTGTGGGGGGTGTGCCGAAGCAGAGAGACTACGGAGGGCAGCGGCAGGCATGGGGGGGAGGGAGGAGGGGACGGAGGAAGGAGGAAGGAGGAAATAAGAAACGCGGGGCAATCCGTACTCAAAACGAGGACTCAACTCCACAGGGTGGTGGGAAAGGCTGGGCCTTGGCTTGGCAAAGAAGAAGAACTTATGGATAAAGGCATTGATGCCATCAGGCACCCCTGGTGGAGTGCGCAAGCCCCTTGCTTTGCAATCGACAGAGTTGTGTACTTGAAGCGGCAGGCGGCCAGACAGCCATCTCGGCAAATATTTGTGCTGGCATGCATTCCAGCTCCCCTCCTCTCCCTCATCCTACTCTCCTCCTCCCCATCATCCCAATCACACCATAGTACAAAAGGCCAGAGACAGCTGTAAAGCGTGTTAGCATGGCTTGTGATATCATGGCAACGCACAGCTCCGCACATGAGAAAGCACGTATGTTGGCACCTGACAAACAACGTGGTTTCACCTGCGCCTGCAGCCCCAGACCAAGGAGGGGGAAAAGACTTAAAATTCACGAAGTGGCGTGGAGGTGCTGTCAAACGGATGCAATGGCGAGGATGGCGCCGAAGGCTAATTGAACGGGCGCGCACTGCAAGTCGTCAAGACGACGCTTCCCCGTTCAGCCTGAGTGAGTGACAGCTCTCCCCCATCCGCGTGATGTCCTCCAGCATGCCCAGATCGTATATCCTCAACTCGCCTCTGTGGTCGAATTCGAAGAAGCTTGGGTGGGCCCCGCACCTCCTGGCGGAGAGGTTGAGACTGCCGCCTCTCCGAGCCTTCCCGCCTCCATAGCTGCGTCCACCTGGAAGCTCTTGCCGGAGCGCACCTCAGGACAGGTCCTCCCCTCCTCCTCCTCGTCCTCCTCCTCCTCCTCTTCCTCCTCCTCCTCCTCCTCCTCCTCTTCCTCCTCCTCCTCCTCCTCATCCTCCCCATCCCCCTCTTCCTCCTCCTTCTCCGCCGCCGCCGCCGCGGCCAGCGGCCAATGTGCGCGCGCTCTCTGGAAAGAGAAGAACTGCGACAGGCATTGCCGCGTGCGACGCAGAAACGTGTAACCAAAAAAAAGACCCCAACCATGTGGGAAGGGACCCGAGTTAGAAGGCCCAAGAACACTAGGGATACCAGGGTTGTTTTTTTTTTCTGCAGATGTACCGAACCAAACCGCCCAGAACTATTTTCCCGAATGTGAAGGCAAGGACCTACGCGAGGCCACGCTTTCATGGCGCTCCTAGAGTTAGGGGTTCTTTTGATCTCGATGAACCCAGACCCCCGACGTCATTATTTTTTCATGACGTCGACCCCCAGAGGTCTGGACACATCCCCCAGGACCAATGTTTCGGCCTGAGTCGCTTTTTGACGGTGCCGAGGCCTGGTAGGGGGCCCCCAGAGGCCGAAAACGTGGCGACAAAAGAACCCGCCGTGATTTCTCATGACTCGAGGGGGTCTGGGAAGAAAGCTGCCCACGACGGCTGCCGAAGGATCGGCGGTCTCAGCGAGGAAGGGCACGGAGGCGGGCGGAGGAGGAGGAGGAGGAGGAGGAGGAGGAGGAGGAGGAAGCAGGAGGCAGGAGGCAGGAGGAGCGAGAAGCGAGGGGGGGGGAGGAGGAGGAGGAGGAGGAGGAGGAGGAGGAGGAGGAGGAGGAGGAGGAGGAGGAGGCGGCGGGCGGCGAGAGAGGGCATGCTCGGCCACGCACCGCTGCGCACAGCCCGCGACAAGGGCTGGGCCGGCCGCGCGGCAGAGCGCTGGGAGGCAGAGCGCCGGCTGGTGCCGGCCATGATCTCCCGATGGCCCTCGCCTCCCATGGAGGAAGAAAAAACAGTGAAACGTAAACTTTGGGCGCTCCGCGCGGATTTCTTGGATCTGCGCTGTGCCCCCCATCCCTGGCGCGTGAAGCGCGCCAGGGCCGGCGCCGGAGGCGCCGCCAGGGGCTCCCAGCACAGATCCGAGAAATCCGCGCGGGGCGCCAAAAGTTTATGTTTGTGTGTTTTTGTCCTTCTTCGAAGACCCCCTCGAGTCATGCAAAAAACAAGACGGGAGGTTGTTCTATATGCTTTCGGCCTCTGGGGGCCCTCACCGGGCCTCGGGACCGTCGAAAAAAAGGATTCAGGACGAGAAGCCGGTCCCGGGTAGCGGGGTCTGGACCTATGACGGCGGGGTCTGGGCTCCGTTCTGCCGGCGGGTGCCAGCGAGCTCCAAGGATTCCCAGGACTTCTTGTTCGTCGCGGCGCGGCAGAGGAGGCAATCCGCTCGCGCGTGCAGCAGAAAACCGGGCTGCGGAGCTGCGAATGGGCCCGCATGGGGGGTCCCAGGACAGGGGGAAGCGAGGACGAGCGGGGAGCCGGGGCAGCCTCTGAGAAGAGAGACAAGGGAACAAGTGAAAGAGCAGCGAGGCATTAGGTAGGGCATGTCCTCCTACAGGCGGATTGTGGAAGAAGAATAAAAAACATTCAACTGATGCTCAAAGATGGTCAAAAATAGTCGGAAAATCGTCCGCTGACTATTATTTAACTATTTTTGAATTTTCATAAAGGGACATGCCCAACTTCAACAAAACACAAAAACTCTCCATAATAACCACGACTGGGCGCGGAGGCGGCCGTCTGCCCTGGCAGATGGTCCACCAATGGACCCGCTGGTGCTGGCGCCCGCAGGTTTCGGCTGGGCATGCCCTCCTGCAGGCGGACTCTGGACACAATTGCCAAGAAGGATCCAACAAGAATCAGAAGTAGTCAAGAAGGCACGAAAAATCCTCGTCCAACTATATTGCATTCTTCTCGGGTCGGGCGAAAGGGGGGGATAGCAAAGGGGGGGGTTGGGAATCAGCTCACGTAGCTGATTTTCCCGGCGCCTCCCGGCGCCGGAGGCGGCTATGTATCGAGGAATGGGCCCCTCGGTGAGGCCGAAACCAGCTGCATGCAGCAAATTTCGTAACCCCCCCTTTCCCCCCCCCTTTCGCCCGGCCCGATCTTTTTGAATGCTCCTCCTGTAGCGGGACCTGCCCGACTGAACCGCGGGCGGAGGAGCAGGAAGAGGGGGACAAAGGAGTTGGAGGCGGCCGGGGGGTCTGGACTGGACGGGCCCCGAGAAGGTCGGCCGAGAAGGGGGGGATAATGCGAGGCGGGGAATGATCCATATCCGCAGCCTGGCAACCGGCGTCCTGGTGGCCCACGGGGCTGTGGATTATGGATGTGTTATGACCCCCCGGAGCCCGTTATGTATAGACATATACATATACATATACATACATACATACATACAAGCATGCAAACATACACATATACCAACATCCATCCACACATACATACATACCAACACATATTATATATATATATACATACCTACCTACCTACCTATCTACCTACCTACCTACCTACCAACATACAAACATACATACATACATACATACATACATGTGTATATACATACGTTTACATGCGTGCATGCATACATACATACAAACATACATACATATATACATGCATACGTACGTACGGACATATAAACATACATATACAAACACCTATACATATACATGTATATATATATATATGCATGTACACATATATATATATATACATATATACATATATATACATATACATACACATATACCATATATATGCATGTACATATACATATGAATATATATATATATATATATATACATGTACAATTGCACCTACATGTACGTATACATATTTATATACTTATATGTATTTACATATACATAAACATATGCATATCCATATACATTTACAGAACCAAATGCATAAACGTATATGTATACGTATACGTATACATAAACAAATACATACATACATTCATACATATATCGACTCATACATACATACATATATACATACATACATACACACATACATACATTACATTACATACATACATACATGCATATATACACATACATTCAGACATACATACATACATACATACACACATACATACATATTTGCATACATCTCTACACACATGCATACAGGCATACAGGCATACAGGCATACATACATACATACATACATACATACAAACATACATACAGGCATGCATACATATGTATACATATATATATATATGTACATCGATAGATCGGGGGGGGGCCTGGGGCCCGGATGTGTCCATATCTATCGCCTGCCGAGGTCTCCGAAAATTGATCCTCCAGGCGGTGGTCATGTATACATTCCCGCCTCGGAGATTAAGGCAAATCCGCTCAAAATCAATCCCTGGACCCCACCCAGGGCCCCTCTGGTGAAGTTCTTCCCCCCGGATCCGTCTCTGCCGGTCTTGGGGCCTGGCAGCGGACCCCGGAGAGACCGAAGAAAAAACGAAGAACCTCCTCGAAGCCAGAACCTCCAACCTCGCCCCCCCTTCCTGCTCGCAGGATCCAGTGCAAGCCAACGGGTGACAAGAGCCAGGACGCCGACGACGGCGACGACGACGACGCCGCCGCCGCCGACGACGACGACGGCGGCGGCGGCGACAACGGCGGCGACGACGCCGCCGACGACGACGACGACGACGGCGGCGGCGGCGACGGAGTCGGCGGCGACGGCGGCGGCGCCGGGCTGCCTTCAGTGCGCCGACGAGGCGCGGTGGCGGCTGCCGAGACTGCTGCCCTCGCCCGGCACGAAGAAGTGCAGGAACGTGCGCCGGACGGTCGGCGCCAGGCGCGGGGAGGAGTCCTCCAGGGGGTGTGTGTGGGGTTAGAGTACCAAAGGTACAGAACCCCTGATCCGTAGGTAGAGGAAGGAGGGAAAGACAGGGATCCTTTCCTCCTGTGCGACCAGCGTCCTGGTCTCTTCCAGTACCTGAGCCGATAAGGCAGGCAAAAGGGCGAGTGAGGAGTAGAGACGAGGGTATGAGACGGGTTCCTTTCACAGGGGGGGGGGGCAACGCCGTCGCGGCTGCGGATGCCGCGCGCGCGTCGTGGGCGCTGGGCGCCTCGGCCCGTGGCGTGCCTTTGGGGGCTCTCTGGGACCCTGCCCACCCCAGAGGTACCCTTGCCGGCAGAGCGCTGGGTCGGGCCTGCCCTCCTGCAGGCAGATCTTGAAACGGCGATAGAAAGTGGTCGAGAAATCCGCCGACCCCCTAGGGTCACGGCGTGTGAGATGCTTCCCCCTCCCCGAGCCCCTCCCCCAGGGGCCCGGTCCGGCCAGTTTGGATGGGGGGGCGGGGAGGTGGGGGGCAAAGGTCCTGGCCGCACACTTGGAGCCTCAGGAGGCCCCAAAACGGGCCAAAAGGTTCAAAAGCGTCCCAGAACGGTCCAAGAGAGCTACGAGTCGACGAAAGATCGTGCCAAAACGCCGAAGACGGCCTCCAGACGGCCCCATCAGTCCCCAAGACGTTTGAAAACGCGTCCACGAGGCGCCCCAAGAGGGCCTCCAGAATCCAAAGCCGTCCCATTCCCTAGGGAAGACATACATTTTCAGTACATTCGCCTCTTGGGCATTCTACGGGGCCTACAACGTCTTAGTAAACCTCCAAGTGCGACCCCCGACACCCCAAGAAGCTCTGAAAAAGGCTCCACGACGGCTTCCGGGCGCACCACGAAGGCCTCAGAAACCACAGCAACGGCCCAGGACAGTCGCAGAACGGTCCCACGAGAGCCCCGCAACGGGCCAAGAGGGTCCCCAAAGGCCTTCTGGACGGCCCACGAGGGGGACGATTCGGTCCAAACCGCCCCAGCCTGCCTGCAGACGATTCCCCATAGGCCCCCGAAACGTTTGAAAAAGCTACTACGAGGCGTTCCACGAAGGCCTCCAGAAGCAAAAACCGTCCCATTTCCCAGTGAAAACGTACATGTTCAGCACATTCGCCTCTTAGGCTTCCGCGAGGCCGCCTACAACGGCCCAAGAAGCATCCAACATCGACCCCCTACAGCCCCAATGGCTTTCAAGAGGGTTCCAAGACGGCCTCCGGGCGCCCCAAGAGCAACGGCCCTGGAGAGCCGCAGGACGGTCCCAAGAGGGCCCGAAGACGGGCCTAGAGGGTTCTTAAAAGGCCTCCTGGTCGGCCCAAGTCGTTCAACAGTGCCCCAAGTCGTCCAACATTGTCTCCAGACAGCCCTACAGGCCCTCAAGACGCCTCAAGACGCTACCCAGAGGCGTCCCAAGCAGCCGTCCAGAAACAACAACCGTCTCATTCTCGATGGAAAGCACATATTTCCAACACGTCAACCTCTTGGCCCTTCACGCGGCCCCTAAGACCCCTTGCACGCCCCAACACGCCACCAGGACGCGGCCCAAGAGGCCCTCCACAAGCAAACATCGGCCCGTTCCCTAAGGGAAACGTTCAAGCTTAGCACATTCGCTGTTTGGCCTTGCACGAGGCCCACAGCAACCCAAGAAGCCCCCAAATCAATTCAAGGTAACCCCATATGCCTCCAAGAGGGCCCCGAGCGCGAATCACGACTCGTGAGGAGATCGCTCCCAGACGCCCGCAACTGCCTCCAGCAGACCCCCTGAGGCCTCCCCTCGACGCCCCGACACGCCACCGGGACGCGTCCCCAAGAGGCCCAGCAGAACCAAACCTCGGCCCCTTCCCTAAGGGAGACGCCCAAGTTTCGCAATCTTGCTCCTCGGCCTGTCGCGCGGCGAACAGCAGCCCGATAAGCCCCCCGAAATCAGCCCAACAGCTCCCGCATGCCCCCAAAGAAGGCTCCCAGACGGCACCAACGGGCCCCAACAGGACCCCCGAAGCCACCAGGGAGAGCCCCAGGACGGCCCCACGAAAAGGGTCCGAGGGGAAACCCGAATGGAGGATTCGAGCACTTAACCCCGAGAAGACACGGCGGCGGCCCTTCGACGACGAAAACCACGACAAAACTGAAAAGACTAAGACTCTGCAATCAAATTCTTTTCTTCTCCCTACGCAGAAATCGTTCACCATGGGCCCCCCAGACCTTTCCCGGAATCCAGTCGCAATCGTTTTCCCAAATGCATCCAGCCGCGGCGACAGGGTAGGGGCCCGGAACCCCCCCAACCACAACAAACCTTCAGACAGGCTACTCCGCACAAATGCGTACCCCGAACCTCTGTTCCCAGGTCCGCCGATACAATTTCTCGCCCCAGGTCCGTCTGGTTTTGAAAGTCCTGCGGCCCAGTAGCGGCCCCCAGAGACCAAAACCTATCAGACACGAAAGCTGCTCAGACAAAAATATCTGGACAGGCGGCCGGAATTGCCGCGGGTATCTACCCCGATCGAGAAGAAGAAGAAGAAGAAGAGAAGGACGAGGAGGAGGAGGAAGAGGAGGAAGAGGAACAAAAATGGTTTCGTCGTCGCCGCCGATGTCTCGCAGATTTTCTTGGTCTTTCGATCACCCGAGGCATCTCCTCGAATTTGGCCTCCAGGAACCGTTTTCGGTGCCTGGGACCACCACCGAGGGTCCGGGATGAGGATCGACCTCCCTGGCCAGTACCACCCCTTCGCAAAAGGGAGGAACACGGGGTGGATCGAGGCTCGAGGCATAAGACTCCTAGTTCTTGTGCGCTCTCCGCCCCCGCTGGGCCTTCAGGAAGCTCCTCGTCGACACAGCTGGCTTCACTCTCGAACTTCTGGCCGGACGCACCCCAAGCTGGTTCTCAACGATCCCCGAGCCTATCCAGGGGATGGAAAAGGAGGCCTGGGACAAGCCCCGTGAAGGCCCCAAGAAACCCACATAAGACCACGGAAAACTTCAAAGCAATTCCCTACAAGGCCCCCCCTTGAACCCCACACGCTACGTAGGACAGGCCGAACCCCCAAGATTGCCCAACGATCGCGCGCGTTCCGCGAACTCCGTCATTCACTCTTGCTACCGCCCCAAGGGGTCGGCGGTGCGGCGTAAGCAAATGAATCATCAAAAACAGTCAGAGGAACACGAAAATCGTCGCCAGACTTTTTCACCTAACAGCGAAGACTGATAGGCTTCTAGTAGTGTCAAAAGAGAGCATCTTGACTCCCCACGGGGGTCTGGGCGGGTGCCAGGGAGAAGCCGCGGAAGTCGTTTTAAGCAAACAGTTACACACTTCGTGGTCTTCGAGGTCCCAGAACTCCATTCCCGGGCCACATTTTGAATGCCCGGAGCCAACTGTGGGCCACTTCGTGGTCTTCGAATTCCCAAAAACTCCATTCCTGGGCCACATTTTCAATACCCGGGGCCAACTGTAGGCCACTTCGTGGTCTTCGAGTTCCCAGAAGTCCATTCCTGGGCAGGATTTTGAATGCCCGGAGCCAACTGTAGGCCACTTCGTGGTCTTCGAGTTCCCAGAAGTCCATTCCTGGGCATGCTTTTGAATGCCCGGAGCCAACTGTAGGCCACTTCGTGGTCTTCGAGTTCCCAGAAGTCCACTCCTGGGCATGATTTTGAATGCCCGGAGCAAACTGTAAGCCACTGCGTGGTCTTCGAGTTCCCAGAACTCCATCCCTGGGCATGATTTTGAATGCCCCGAGCCAACTGCAGGCCTCTTCGTGTTCTTCGAGTTCCCAGAAGTCCATTCCCGGGCCACATTTTGAATGCTGAGGCAGGCTGAGGCTGAGGCTGAGGCAGGCTGAGGCTGAGGCAGGCTGAGGCTGAGGCCGAGGCTGACTGCAGACTGAGGCTGAGGCTGAAGCAGGCTGAGGCTGAGGCTGAGGCAGAGGCTGAAGCAGGCTGATGCTGAGGCAGGCTGAGGCTGAGGCTCAGGCTGATGCAGGCTGAGGCTGAGGCACGCTGAGGCTGAGGCCGAGGCTGAAGGCAGACTGAGGCTGAGGCTGAAGCAGGCTGAGGCTGAGGCTGAGGCAGGCTGAGGCTGAGGCTGAGGCAGGCTGATGCTGAGGCAGGCTGAGGCTGAGGCTGAGGCTGAGGCAGGCTGAGGCTGAGGCAGGCTGAGGCTGAGGCTGAGGCAGGCTGAGGCTGAGGCAGGCTGAGGCTGAGGCCGAGGCTGAAGGCAGACTGAGGCTGAGGCTGAAGCAGGCTGAGGCTGAGGCTGAGGCTGAGGCTGAGGGCTGATGCTGAGGCAGGCTGAGGCTGAGGCTGAGGCTGATGCAGGCTGAGGCTGAGGCAGCTGAGGCTGAGGCCGAGGCTGAAGGCAGACTGAGGCTGAGGCTGAAGCAGCTGAGGCTGAGGCTGAGGCAGGCTGAGGCTGAGGCTGAGGCAGGCTGATGCTGAGGCAGGCTGAGGCTGAGGCTGAGGCTGATGCAGGCTGAGGCTGAGGCAGGCTGAGGCTGAGGCCGAGGCTGAAGGCAGACTGAGGCTGAGGCTGAAGCAGGCTGAGGCTGAGGCAGGCTGAGGCTGAGGCTGAGGCAGGCTGAGGCTGAGGCAGGCTGATGCTGAGGCTATGACTGCGACTGCCGTTGCCACTGCGACTGCCATCGCGAACGCGACTGCGACTGCGAGAACAGCAGAATTCTACAACTGGATTCTCGTCTGAATCTTAAGGGGAATGCTTCCAGATATGCTCCTACACATCGCTGTTAGGTTGCTTTGCCGGGATAATTTCTGCTATTCTTGTCTATTACGCCTGTTGAAGGACATGCCCGACTTAAGCATAGCGGATTGATCCGAAATGCAGCATTACGGGTCAGCCTGGGGGGGCCCAAAGCCTCTGGTGACGGATGGCAGGATGAGTCGGCGCCGAGCCGGGAATTCGGTTGGAGTCGAAACGTACGTCGGATCGGGCCGCAAATGAGCGACGAAAAGAAACGGGTCTTACGCAAGATGACAAAGCGACCTTACGCCACGGCTTACGCGGGCCGCTAGCGTGTGGCACACCGCGCGAATCAGAGGGCGCTTACGCGCGGCCTTACGCGGGAAGCTTACGCGCGAATGTTGGCGCAGCCTGGTGACAGATGGCAGGATCAGCCAGCATCGAATCGGACGTGGATACATCGGAACGGGCCGCATCGGCACCGAGATTGCATCGGATCGGTTGCGCCAAGCTGCACAACAGCGCCGTGCGAGCATCGGGCCGCATCGGATCGTCGGAAATTTAGCCCCTTCACCCGAGGTCGAATCGGACCAATCGGGTCGAAACAGACCCTGGCAGAGCCCAGAGACCCCACGAGGCGCTCCTGGGCCCCAGGAGAGGCCGCAGGCGCTCTCGGACATGCTCGGATAACGGCCCCTGCCCCGAGACCATCCGCTCGGACTGGGGCCCCTCGGGCCGCCTGAAGATGATCACCAACACCCAAGCCCAGCATCGTCTTGCCCCAGTGGAAGCGGCCCCAGATATTCGCGTCGGCGGCGTCAACTCCTAGGCCGTCGGCGGACGGCACGGTCACCAGACCGTGTTGGGGGGGGGGCCTCTCCCTGCCCACAGGGGGGCGGGCCGATCGCAGAGGGGGGGGACGGCTACCAGCGTTCAAAGGTCACAAGTAAAGATCGTTCGGGCGGTCCTCCTTGACCCGGCCACAGTAAATCTGGGTGTCGTCGTCCGCGGTCACCACACTGCACACGGACTGCACGTCGAACTCATCGCTGCTCTCGTGGATTCCCCTGCTGACTTCCCAGGGGTCGGGAGGCGGCAGGCACACGAGCTGCAACCTTGCCCCGGTCTGGAGCTCGTCCGGGCCCGCGCCGCCCTCCCTGCAGCGCACGGGCTCCCCGTCGCCCCGGCCGCACGCCCGCCCCGCGGCCTCGGCGCCGCCCGACCGCGGCAGCACGTCCAGCGCGTGCAGCAGCGCGCTGACCTGGGCCGCCTCCTCCCCTCCCCCGTGGGGCTGCGGCACGAACATCGCCGCCCCCGGGCTCAGGGGCGTGCTGCCCTCCGCCGGGGCCTCCGGGCGCGGAGCCTGCGCGCCGGCGGGCCGCTGCGGCGCGGAGGCGCGGCGCAGCGCCGGGCCGCGGCGCGCGCCTCGCCCGGCGGCCTCGGCGCCGGGCCCCTCCGGGGCACGCGGGGCCTGCGGCTGCCGCTGCCGCTCGCGCGGCGCGGCCCCCGGCGCGGGCACGTCCTGGAAGCGCGAGGCCGCGCGGGCGGCCGCGGAGCGGGCGCCGGGGGCAACCGGGCGCTGCGGCTGCGGCTGCGGCTGCGGCTGCGGCTGCGGCTGCTGCGGCTGCGGCTGCTGCTGCTGCAGTTCGCACTCCTGCGGCACGCCCTCCACCGAGCCGCGCCTGGAGCCGCTGCTGTTGCGCTTGGCATACCAGCTGTGCCTCCAGCGCCGCAGCTGGCCCGGCGCGTGGGCGAACGTGCACGCGCTGCCCTGCCTTCAGCGGTCGAAGAATGGCGCGAACGAGGAACCCCACATACCTATTTTAGGTCCTGCGTGGGAATTTCTTTCACATCGACCCTTGCTTTGTTCGAATTTGCTATGGGCGCGTCTTTGTGATGCGGTGAAGCGGCGTCGCCGCGCCCTTCGATGTAGTCTCTGGGCTGCGTGCAGACTGTGAGAATGCCACCTTCGACATAAAGTGTCTGGTGGCAAAGCACACCCATCATAACTCCATCAGCGCATCGGTACGCTTGCAATGCCCTGTGAGCATGAATCTGGTACCTGCGACGAGGTCGAGAGTTCCGAGGACTGCGAATTGAAAGAAATCACGACCTTCTTGGAAGTTCGGTAGGAGTGCAGGGTGAACGCGGCTGCGACGTGGGTGGAAAGTGTAACGCATCCTGTTCCTCTTCGCCTATGCCTCCCCTCTTCACTCCTCTGCCACGCCTTGCGAGCCCGAACCAGATAGGACCCCCCCCCAGCATTCCCCCTGTGATGTCGAGAAAGTGCCACGCCTGCCACGTTTTGCGAGCCAGAAACGGATAGCGCCCCCACCAACTGCCCACCCCCTGTGGTGTCGCCGCGCTTACCACGCTGAGCCCGAAACGGATAGCGCTCCAACCCCCAGCGCCCCCCCTGCGGTCTCGAGGAAGCGCCACGCCTGCCACGCTTTGCGAGCCCGAAACGGATAAGTAACCCCACCCCCTGCACACCCCCATGCGGTGCCGAGGAAGTACCACGCCTGCCACGCTTTGCGAGCCCGAAACGGATAGTGCTCCCAACCCCAGCGCACCCCCTTGTGGCGCAGAGGAAGTGCCACGCCTGCCACAAGTTGCGAGCCCGAAACGGATGGCGCCCCCACCCCCTGCGCACCGCCTCTGGCGTACAGAAGGTGCCGCGCCTGCCACGTCCTGCAACCCGCTAGGTGTATACTATCGGTGTCTCGTCCACGTGTCCTCCCTCGACTGCCTGCGTGTGGTGTGCTGCGCGTATGTGTCGTCGTGAGCGTGTGCGACTGCATGTTCGTTTGTGTCTGATGCGCGCGCGCGAGTGCAGGTGAGAAGGAGAGGGAGAGAGGGAGGGAGGAGAAGACCAGAACCCCACTTAGTCTGCGGGGAACAAGATGTGACTGGCGGCGCGGACCCCAATGGTGTGACTACTTCCAGGTACCACCGCTAAAAATCAGGGGCGGTTGACCTATTGTCATGGTCTGCTATGTGAGGCGCCAACCGCGCCTCCAGACGTCCGCCGCCCCTGGTCTATAGCGGTAGCCGCCCCTGGTCTAGAGCGGCAGTAGTGAGAATAGAACCCCACCTCGGATTCCCGATTTGCAAGCTGTGTGGTGCAGCGTGATCACGCAGCTGCGTATAACATGGACGGCGTTTGCTGCAGAATGCGTGTGTTCCAAAACGTGCACTTGTTATAGGGCACCAGGGCGGCAATCAAGGACCTCGACATCGTGGGCATCGTAAGGCACCCGCCGAAGGGCACCAGCCATATAGAGTGCAAGGGTGGCAATCAGACATCCGAACAACTGGAGCAACACAGGGCACCAGCCATAGCGCAGCAGCTGCGGGGCACGAGGGCGGCGACCAGAAATCGCGACCACCGGGGCATCACAGGGCACCAGACAGAGGAACCAGCCATGGAGCACCGGGGCGGCAGCCAGAAGCCGCGCCAAACTATTCCAGTCCCCCTCGCAACAAGGAAGAGCCCCTGAGTGCAAAAACTGTTTGATGCGCCAGGGCAGCAACCAGAAATCGTGATTACCATGGGGCCCAGACGACTGGGGCATCACAGGAAACCAGCCATGGGGCACCAGTGGCCTCAACACGGCAACCAGAAGACAGGACAACCACAGGGCACTGACGACTCGAGCATCGAAGAGCACCAGCCATGATGCGCCAGGGCGGCAATCAGAAATCGCAACATCCAAATCGAACTTTGCTCGAAGCATGCAAGGCCCCCTCAGCGCAAGCACTGTGCAGGAGAAAGCACATCTTCCGTCTCCCAGAAGGAGAGCGGCTCTCCAAGGGCGGCTGGAAACATTCTTAACCCCACGTGCCACAATGGTGGATATGAACTTCCCATGCGCCCTGGGGCAGACATATTCCCCACAGCGGACAACCCGATTCTGCACACTTCTTGGGACACCAAAATGCACTGATACCGCCACTCCCCGGACCTCTCCTGGGGTGCGTTCTGACCAGAATTTCGAAGCGAATCCAGCGGTGGCGACGAGGGCATTCCAGGAGGTCCAAAGAGGTGACTCGGCGGTGGACAAACCTCCCTTTAGTAAACCACCCTTTAGTGAAAACGGCCTGGGACAAAAACCGACAGACCTGGACCCGCAAAAATGACGGCCGCGACGCCCTCTCGCGAACCGAAAATGGCCAATTCGCCAATGGACGCGTCAGGGTAGGAGGTCTGTCCACCCCCGAGAGAAAACGAGGGAAGGGTAGCGGTATGGATACATTATTCCTCATCCGAAGAAACCTGCACACTTCTTCGTCCGCCGAAGCCTGCACGTCCCAGTCTCCATGAAGCTCCTGCAGCGCTGGGTGAACGAGAAGTCCGGGGCCTTGCGCAGAGCATCTCTCCCGTGCGCGAAGCCGCAGTGCTCACCCCGGGAGCAGTTGCCACTCTCGTAGAAGCTGCACAAGCGCGTCTTGTTCAGGAGCTGGGCCGTGAATGCGTCGTTGCCCCCGCGGGGGCCCGCGCCCGGCATGCTGGCTGCGGGCGAGCGGTGTGACTGCCAGTGCTGCGGGCCCCTGCAGGCAGGTGGAACTGGCCGCGCGCTTGAGCCAGGCGGACCGCGTGCACAGCCCTTTTCCTCCGCTCTGGGGACAGGGGTGGGCAAGATTGCCGAGATGGCCCCAGAGGCCCCCCAGGCTCCCCCGAAGGCCCCAACGGTGGCGGACAAGACTGCCAAAGAGGCCCCCAAGGACGATGAGGAGCAAG